TTCAGCAGCAACATCCTCCTGCTTCCACCGGCTAATTTCTTTTCTTCACCAGCCGCCATTTTTTTTCCTTGAAAGACTGACTTTTGATCCATTTTCAGTAGAAAGGGAGGAACTTGAGCTTTCTGATCATATAATACAGTTCGCTGTGATCATTGTTTATACAGAGTGGGAGAGACACTTGACATTGTCTTTATTTCTCAGGCCAGTGACTTAGACATTTCCAGAACCGAGAATTGTCCGTTATCATAGTAATAATAATAATAATAAGCGTGAACATCTCTTCATCTTCTTTAGTTACGAGGCGTTTGTTCGTCCGCTTTTTGTTACATGTTCATGTTCACTTGCCAGTGAAAAAAATAAGATGGGCCGTTAATGGGCCGTTAATGGGTTGAACCTGGTGGCCCAATAAAAATCGGGTTGGATTATGAATCATTTGAAGTGCTGGCTGAGCGATTTACTTGGTGCCGCAGTTGAATATTTCCGTGTTCTGGTCGTCGTGCTCCATCGTCCACCACCGAAGTTCGATTAGGTAAACCCTAAATTTCCTCTTGATCCCCGTCCCGTGAACGTTTAAATTTCTTAGATTTTGGTTTTTCTCGATTAGATCTTCTTGATAGGTATCCCGAGAAGTCATCTTTTTACTCCTCTCGTCTTATCTGATTCGAATCGATTCAATTTCCTGTGGTTGAGATCTGATGGATTGGGTTCAGATGATTCTGTGGTGGATTTGTTTGGGGTCAGTTATTTTTCGGGGAATTTTCAAGAGGATTGTTGTTAATCGAACGTTAAAAGGGGATTATTTCTCAGGCGGGTCAATCTCATCTTGTATGCCATTGCCATTTCACAAAAGTGGTCTGATTGGTTCAGAAGGCAAACCTGTCGAAATATCAGTTTTTTTGGGAGTGTATTTGGATGCTTATGTGTATAAGTATGTAGAGAGTCGAATGATCTATATGTGTCCCTGTATAGAGATATGTGTGCATACCAAGATAAGAAAATGATCTCTGGATATGTTAATCCTTCATGTTTATGTTTCATACCCTGTAAGGAGCCGATCTTTCGATACGCATCAACAAGGATCTGTGTTCTTAGCTTAGCACGGAGATCAGATAGAATGTGATTTTAAAACCTTTGTGGTTCATCTTGACTGAGTCATGCTATAATATGTCCAGATCAGGAAGCCAAAACCATATACACTCGCATGTGTGAGTGTCTTTCGCTATGTGTATATATATGCTCAAATGGACGACACACCAAGAGACAGTCATGCGATATGTATATATATTTTGCAAAGTTTGCTGCTTTCCTATTCTTATTGAGCATCGTGGTTAGTGAGCATATACTGTTAACACATGTGGCAGGAGGATACATTGAGAGATTGAGAAGAAAGAGATGGCGGGTCACAAGATTGCTCACGCGACCTTGAAAGGGCCGAGTGTTGTGAAGGAGATAGTGATTGGCATTACGCTCGGGTTGGCAGCTGGTGGTCTGTGGAAGATGCATCACTGGAACGAGCAGAGGAAAACAAAAGCCTTCTATGACTTGCTCGAGAAGGGTGAGATCAGTGTCGTTGCCTCATCCGCCGAAGAGTAAAATGACCTCTTAACAAGATATTCTGCATTTGGGTTGATGATCTTGTTCTTGTTTTCCCCCATTTCGGTTTCTATCCAGAGATCTCAGATGAACACAATGTGAGATCAGATTTGTAAGAAATAAGGGTTTTGACTGCATATTTACTTTGGACGGTTGCTCCTTGAGAAATTTACAAATTGGTTTTGCTTTTGTACTTCATAGAAGGATCACTTCTGAAAGATTGATCCTTTTTTTTAATTAAACCGATCAGTATTATCCAAAATATCCTCCTATTACTAAAATTATTTCTGCACATAATTTTTTCCAAATGTCACCAGAATGACCATATGATTAGGGGTGGCCAATTCGGGTTTCGGTTCGGTTATATTCGGGTTCAGTTATCTCGGTTATAGAAAAACTATAACCATTTGGTTTTTATATAAATTCCGGTTTGGTTCGGTTCGGTTATTTTTCGGTTCGGGTTCGGTTCGGTTTTGGTAAAAAAATTCAATTTTTCAAAGAAATTGTCGGTTATTCTCTTGGTTTTTTCGGTTATTTTTTATTCGGTTCGGTTCGGTTTCGCTTTCGGTTTTTCGGGTTTAAGGAAATCATAACCGTTCGGTTTAGATGTCGAATTCGGTTCGGGTACGGTTATGTCTTATTCGGTTCGGTTCGGCTCGGTTATTCGGTTAATAACCGAAATGACCACCCCTACGTATGATCATACTGAATATTCTGGATAGAAGCGGTTTCCAAAGTGAAATGCATAGCCTTTGAAAAGGTCGAGTATGTCCATGCCATGAACGTAACAACTTTTCTGGGCTTGGGCTAAGGCCCATCATTTACTAACTAAACTATTATGATCGGAGCCGAATATTACGAACTAAGATGGTTAACTGTTTCAAAGGGAATAATATCACTAAAAAGATATAAATTTTTTAAATTTAATAAATAAATAACTTTTAAAAATTTAGTAAATAAATATATGAACTATTTAATTTTATATAAAAATATATAAATTTTAATTCTTTTTTGTATAAATATACAAAAGTATTAAACTCTGTGTCCATTTATACGGAAAATTTTAAAGTTCGTATATTTTTATGTATTTTTACCATAAATTTGTATAATTTTATATAGAATTAAAAGTTTATACATTTATTTATAAAATTTAAAAAAGTTCACAATTTTTTTTGGGATATTTTTTTTTCAAAAACAAAGAAGAACATTTTAAAATATCTAGACCTCGCTTACACGCGGAAGCTTGTGGTTGGTCTTAAGATGATAAGGGATTCTGGTCCACACTCTCTTGAAAAGAAAATAAAAAATCAAAGAGAGCCAACAATAATAGTAAGGAAAATGGTGACAATTGCAGGCCAGAACCTGAGAGTGGTCGCCGATGACACAGCACGGGCTCGTCCCCCCTGGTTCGATCCGCCTGAACTACGATAATTGTTTTTTTCTTCTGATTGTATATTTACGACAACCGGCTTGTGTTCTAGATGTTTACAGACCGAACCGATCAAAAAAAATAATCGAGAAAACGATAATTTTTTTGAAAATATAAGTTTTTTTTAGAACAAATAAAACAGAATCCGAACCGAACCGAAACTTGAAATGGCAGGATTTTGGACGGATACAATGATACTTGATCACTGGAATGGATGGATCCAATTTAGTTGGCTCACCAGTTTCTTGACAGAAAGAATTGCAAACAAACCCCTAAAAGATGCAAATAGATATGCATTCGGCTGACACATGATGACATTTACCGATTTCCAAATCCAGTAGAACACACAATGCTGAATCGACCCATCATTACCTAAACTGAAAAATACCACAGAGGCGCAAAGAGAAAGAACAGACGATATTTTAACCAAAAAAAAACCAAAGCTTTAGACTCGCAAAGACATAGGACGACTACTCCACGGCCCAGAAGCAACTCCGAGCTCCATCAGAACTCAAAGATATCAGCAGACGCCATTATCGGCTGCGCTGGACAGGCAATCTGCCATGGGTTCTGCATAGATTCAGGGATCTCAGGAATATCCAGAGCCATCCCGCTCATCTCCTCAACCATCTCCAACACCGAGTTCAACGACCTCAGCCTATCTGTCAACTCCGACGCCTGCGCCCTCAGAACGTTGTTCTGCGCCTCCATATCGGTGTACCTCCTCGTAGCTGCCCCAATCTGCTCGGAGACCTTGGAGTTCTCGTTCTTCAGAGTGGTCGCTTCATTGCTCAGGTCCTCCAGCTGCTTCTGCTTCCTCATGCGAGACCTCCGAGCAGATTCCCTGTTGGAAATCATCCTCTTCCTCTTCCTCTCGTCCGTTATGGTCGCGTACCTCGGATCAAGTTCTGATTCCGAGCTCATCTGCCTTTGCACCGATCCCATGTGCTGACTTGCTTTGTTTTTCTCCCCAAAATTCAACGATAATATTATACTACTAGATACGCAAAATGAGTTTATTTTGAGATTGTAGAAAGGATTTATCTTCCGCTTCCTAAACTACGAATAATTGAGTTAGATCAAACGAATATCTCCGAAAAAACACGATCGAAGAATCAGATCAGGCAGGATTATGAGATCAATTCATGAGAAAACATAGAACCAGTAGAGGAACACGACCGAGAAGGAGTGCAGAATACGAATCCGACGCATTAGGATCGCGTAGCTCATAGAAAATCTAGAATCATTTGTGTTTTCACAGGACCCCTAACTCATCACCCGATCCCCAAAACCAACAACCAAAATCCCAAACGAAAGAACCCTAGATCTAAATCGAACTCAGACAGATCTGACAACGGAAGAGAGGCGGATCGAAAGCAGGAAAGAGGGAAACGAAACGAGACTCTCTTGGATCGAAATCGAACGGAGATCGAAAGAGAAGAAAACTTAGCTGATCGCAACGCCGCCAAACAAGAACACTAAATTCGAAAGCCAGACGAAAGAAGGTCGTGGGGAACCCAGGGAAGGGATTATAAAGGGGAAAATGATGAGCTGGCAATTAGAAAAATAGGATGATTCCGTGAATAATATATTTTTTCCCAGGTGGTGCGTGACGCAAGCGCTGACGCCAGCGCTGAATATGTTTAGTGTTTACCAAGGAATCGCGTTTTTGTAAATTTGTGTTGTCCGAATATTCTCTCCTGTTTCTCCCAAAATGGAATATATATATAAGCCAATATATATCTCATATATGTATATATATACACCATCATAATCACAGATGCCATTTGCTCGAGAAGGGTGAGATCAGTGTCGTTGCCTCATCCGCCGAAGAGTAAAATGACCTCTTAACAAGATATTCTGCATTTGGGTTGATGATCTTGTTCTTGTTTTCCCCCATTTCGGTTTCTATCCAGAGATCTCAGATGAACACAATGTGAGATCAGATTTGTAAGAAATAAGGGTTTTGACTGCATATTTACTTTGGACGGTTGCTCCTTGAGAAATTTACAAATTGGTTTTGCTTTTGTACTTCATAGAAGGATCACTTCTGAAAGATTGATCCTTTTTTTTAATTAAACCGATCAGTATTATCCAAAATATCCTCCTATTACTAAAATTATTTCTGCACATAATTTTTTCCAAATGTCACCAGAATGACCATATGATTAGGGGTGGCCAATTCGGGTTTCGGTTCGGTTATATTCGGGTTCAGTTATCTCGGTTATAGAAAAACTATAACCATTTGGTTTTTATATAAATTCCGGTTTGGTTCGGTTCGGTTATTTTTCGGTTCGGGTTCGGTTCGGTTTTGGTAAAAAAATTCAATTTTTCAAAGAAATTGTCGGTTATTCTCTTGGTTTTTTCGGTTATTTTTTATTCGGTTCGGTTCGGTTTCGCTTTCGGTTTTTCGGGTTTAAGGAAATCATAACCGTTCGGTTTAGATGTCGAATTCGGTTCGGGTACGGTTATGTCTTATTCGGTTCGGTTCGGCTCGGTTATTCGGTTAATAACCGAAATGACCACCCCTACGTATGATCATACTGAATATTCTGGATAGAAGCGGTTTCCAAAGTGAAATGCATAGCCTTTGAAAAGGTCGAGTATGTCCATGCCATGAACGTACCAACTTTTGTGGGCTTGGGCTAAGGCCCATCATTTACTACACTACTATGATCGGAGCCGAATATTACGAACTAAGATGGTTAACTGTTTCAAAGGGAATAATATCACTAAAAAGATATAAATTTTTTAAATTTAATAAATAAATAACTTTTAAAAATTTAGTAAATAAATATATGAACTATTTAATTTTATATAAAAATATATAAATTTTAATTCTTTTTTGTATAAATATACAAAAGTATTAAACTCTGTGTCCATTTATACGGAAAATTTTAAAGTTCGTATATTTTTATGTATTTTTACCATAAATTTGTATAATTTTATATAGAATTAAAAGTTTATACATTTACTTATAAAATTTAAAAAGTTCACAATTTTTTTTGGGATATTTTTTTTTCAAAAACAAAGAAGAACATTTTAAAATATCTAGACCTCGCTTACACGCGGAAGCTTGTGGTTGGTCTTAAGATGATAAGGGATTCTGGTCCACACTCTCTTGAAAAGAAAATAAAAAATCAAAGAGAGCCAACAATAATAGTAAGGAAAATGGTGACAATTGCAGGCCAGAACCTGAGAGTGGTCGCCGATGACACAGCACGGGCTCGTCCCCCCTGGTTCGATCCGCCTGAACTACGATAATTGTTTTTTTCTTCTGATTGTATATTTACGACAACCGGCTTGTGTTCTAGATGTTTACAGACCGAACCGATCAAAAAAAATAATCGAGAAAACGATAATTTTTTTGAAAATATAAGTTTTTTTTAGAACAAATAAAACAGAATCCGAACCGAACCGAAACTTGAAATGGCAGGATTTTGGACGGATACAATGATACTTGATCACTGGAATGGATGGATCCAATTTAGTTGGCTCACCAGTTTCTTGACAGAAAGAATTGCAAACAAACCCCTAAAAGATGCAAATAGATATGCATTCGGCTGACACATGATGACATTTACCGATTTCCAAATCCAGTAGAACACACAATGCTGAATCGACCCATCATTACCTAAACTGAAAAATACCACAGAGACGCAAAGAGAAAGTACAGACGATATTTTAACCCAAAAAAAACCAAAGCTTTAGACTCGCAAAGACATAGGACGACTACTCCACGGCCCAGAAGCAACTCCGAGCTCCATCAGAACTCAAAGATATCAGCAGACGCCATTATCGGCTGCGCTGGACAGGCAATCTGCCATGGGTTCTGCATAGATTCAGGGATCTCAGGAATATCCAGAGCCATCCCGCTCATCTCCTCAACCATCTCCAACACCGAGTTCAACGACCTCAGCCTATCTGTCAACTCCGACGCCTGCGCCCTCAGAACGTTGTTCTGCGCCTCCATATCGGTGTACCTCCTCGTAGCTGCCCCAATCTGCTCGGAGACCTTGGAGTTCTCGTTCTTCAGAGTGGTCGCTTCATTGCTCAGGTCCTCCAGCTGCTTCTGCTTCCTCATGCGAGACCTCCGAGCAGATTCCCTGTTGGAAATCATCCTCTTCCTCTTCCTCTCGTCCGTTATGGTCGCGTACCTCGGATCAAGTTCTGATTCCGAGCTCATCTGCCTTTGCACCGATCCCATGTGCTGACTTGCTTTGTTTTTCTCCCCAAAATTCAACGATAGTATTATACTACTAGATACGCAAAATGAGTTTATTTTGAGATTGTAGAAAGGATTTGTCTTCGGCTTCCTAAACTACGAATAATTGAGTTAGATCAAACGAATATCTCCGAAAAAACACGATCGAAGAATCAGATCAGGCAGGATTATGAGATCAATTCATGAGAAAACATAGAACCAGTAGAGGAACACGACCGAGAAGGAGTGCAGAATACGAATCCGACGCATTAGGATCGCGTAGCTCATAGAAAATCTAGAATCATTTGTGTTTTCACAGGACCCCTAACTCATCACCCGATCCCCAAAACCAACAACCAAAATCCCAAACGAAAGAACCCTAGATCTAAATCGAACTCAGACAGATCTGACAACGGAAGAGAGGCGGATCGAAAGCAGGAAAGAGGGAAACGAAACGAGACTCTCTTGGATCGAAATCGAACGGAGATCGAAAGAGAAGAAAACTTAGCTGATCGCAACGCCGCCAAACAAGAACACTAAATTCGAAAGCCAGACGAAAGAAGGTCGTGGGGAACCCAGGGAAGGGATTATAAAGGGGAAAATGATGAGCTGGCAATTAGAAAAATAGGATGATTCCGTGAATAATATATTTTTTCCCAGGTGGTGCGTGACGCAAGCGCTGACGCCAGCGCTGAATATGTTTAGTGTTTACCAAGGAATCGCGTTTTTGTAAATTTGTGTTGTCCGAATATTCTCTCCTGTTTCTCCCAAAATGGAATATATATATAAGCCAATATATATCTCATATATGTATATATATACACCATCATAATCACAGATGCCATGTATGCTAATTGTTCATATGTGTAGATATATACGAGATATACACAGAGATGAAGAATAAATACTGTTACGGTATCACTAATTATTAATTATATATATATATAATACGGGCTCCCATTAATTTTGTTGATTTGTTCTTTATTTTTGTTTAAAACACCATTTACGGATAAATAAGTTGATGAGATGGGAATAGAATACTCGATAATAATACCATTTCCACAACTGAATTATAAAATATTTGACCTAACAAAAGCATAAATGAACCGCATCACCATTATAAAAAAAAATGCGAGTAGTCCAGAACCTGTCTTAATTCATAGTTCATACCTCCATGTATATTATATGCATATTGCATACATATAACTTCATTGTGCAGTTTGGTGCGTCCTAAAGTGAATATATTTATTTGGTTAAACCGTAAGAAGAAAAAATATCAAAATCTTTGGTTGGTTGATTTAATCACGTGTTAGATAAAAAAAAATCTCACGGCGGAACTTCCAAAATGAAATGGGAATTTACATCAATGCCCTCGAACTCACATACTTGCCCAGGCAAAGGTGCATTAAAATACAGGGGCTCTATAGTAATTTCGCATAGGCCACCTAATCATCTTGCCGTACCAAAAAACGCGACGCGTCATCGTCTTCGTCTTCGTTCGTATTTCCGCGACGAAAGCGAGACAGAGAGAGGGAAATGGCGTGGCTGACAAGGCTCCTAGCAGCAGTGGCGTTCTTGGCCGTGGGGGTGATATTCTCACCGGAAATTTTCGGATCGAAATCGGACGGAGAGAATCCGGCAAAGGTGACGGCGTTGCTGAAGCTGGCCCATCTCCTCAGCTTCTCCACTGCTTGGGGCGCTGCTCTGTGGGTTACCTTCATCGGCGGCATCATCATGTTCAAGTTACGTTTCTCTCTTCTCTTCCAATTGCGATTTATATAATTTGTGTTTGTGATGCAGTAGGGATTCCGTTTTCTCCTACTTCAATTTCTTCGTTTTCTTACGGAATTGAGAGAGGAATGATCGAGACAGTTTTATCTCTTAGAACTAATCGAAGGCATCGGTGTAATCGAAGGCATCGGTGATTGGATTTAGGGGAAATTTACGTGATGGTGTAAGAATGAAAACTGAGCTATGCTGATTTCCTTGTTAATTTCATCTCACCAGAAATTTGCCGAGGCATCAGTTTGGTAACCTTCAAAGCAAGATGTTTCCGGCGTATTTTACTTTGGTGGGTATATGTTGCGCGATTTCACTGGCTGCTTTTGGCTATTTGCACCCATGGAAGTCTTCTTCAGCAGTGGAGAAGTATCAGCTAGGGTTTCTACTGTCCGCTTTTGCTTTCAATCTCTCCAATTTGTTAGTATTTACGCCAATGACTATCGAGGTACGCGTCTGCCCAACACCCATCTTATGTTTTCTATGCTTCCTTTCAAAGTGTTCCTCGTGCGATCATCTATTGCTATTTGCTAATCCTCTTTGAATCAAT